TAATGGTATTAGTTCTTCTCTGAAAGTTTGATAGAATTCTTTACTAAAACAATATGGCCAGATTTTTTGGTTGGGAGGCTTTTGATGACAGCTTCTATTTCCTTAGAGTTTATAGGTTTATTTAAAATGTTAACCTGATCTTTTTTTATTTTTTTAATTTTTTTTTTACTATTAATTACACTTTATTTATTTTGTATTCCCCCATAAACTCTTCCCTCCTCTTCTCCTGATCCCACCCTCCCTCCCTCTTCCTCATGCATGCCCCTCCCCAAGTCCACTGATAGGGGAGGTCCTCTTCTCCTTCCTTCTGATCTTAGTCTATCAGATCACTTCAGGAGTGGCTGCATTGTCATCTTCTGTGGCCTGGTAAGGCTGCTCCCGCCTCAGCGGGAGGTGATCAAAGAGCAGGCCAATCAGATTATGTCAGAGGCAGTTCCTCTTCCCTTTACTATGTAACCCACTTGGACACTGAACTATCATGTGCTACATCTGTACAGGGGTTGTAGGTTATCTCCAAAAATAGACCTTGGTTGGAGTATGAGTCTCTGGGAAGTTCCCTGTTGTTAATCTGATCTTGATTTAAGTGATACATACCAAGAAAATCATCCATTCATTTATATTTTCCAATTTTGTGGTGTACAGGTTTTTGAAGTGTGATCTAATGATTCTTTGGATTTCCTTGGTGTCTCTAGTTCTAGTCCCTTTTTCATTTCTGATTTTATTAATTTGGATACTCTTCCTCTGACTTTTAATGAGTCTGGCTAACAGTTTGTCTGCTTAATTTTCTAAAAAAAAAAAAAAAAAAACAAAAAAAAATAGCTCTTGGTTTTGTTGATTCTCTGTATTGTTCTCTTTGTTTATGGGCTATTGATTTCAGCCCTGAGTTTGATGATTTTTCTTCTGCTGGGTGTGTTTGCTTGCCTTTTTTCTAAAGCTTTCAGGTGGCCTGTTAAGTTGCTAGTATGAGCTCTCTCCACTTTCTGTATGAAGGTACTTAGTGCTATGAGTTTTCCTCTTAGCACTGTTTCTGTTGTTGAAGTCTAGCTTTAATCCATGGTGGTATGTTAGAATACAAGGTGTCATTTAAATTTTCTTGTATTTGTTGAGGCTTGCTTTGTGTCCCAGTTATTTGTTCAGTTTTAGAGAAGGTTCCATGAGATTCTGAGAAGAAGGTATACTCTTTTGTGTTTGGATGCAATTTTCTGTAAATATTTGTTATGTCCAATTGACTCATAGCATCTGTTGGTTTTGTTATTTTTCTGATTAGTTTCTGTCTCAATGATCTATCCATTAGTGAGACAGAAGTATACTATTATAAATGTGTGGGGTTCGATGTGTAATTTAATATTTAGTCATGTTCCTTTTATAAATGTGGATGCCCTTGCATTTGGGGCATAGATGTTCAGAATTGAGATGTCATCTTGATCAACTTTTCTTTTGATGAGTATGAAGTGCCCTTCCCCATCTCTTTTGATTAATTTTGTTGAAAATCTATTTTATTACATATTAGAATATCTACTCCAGCCTGTTTCTTGTATCCATTTGGTTGGAAACCATTTTTCTAGCCCTTTATTTTGAGGTAATGTTTATCATTATTGCTGAAGTATATTTCTTGTATGCAATGAAATGATGGGTCCTGTTTATTCATCCATTCTCTTAGCCTGTCTTTTTACTGGGAAGTTGATGCCATTGATATTGAGAGATATTAATTGCCAGTTGTTGTTACTTCCTGTTATTTTGATGTTGGTGGTGCTTCCTTTCTTTTGGTTTTGTGGCTGTGGGTTTATTTGTTTTCTGTGTATTCCTGGGTATAGTTAGCCTCTTTGGATTGAAGCTTTCCTTCTAGTATCTTCTGTAGAGTTTGATTTGTGACTAGCTACTGCAATCCCAGTCCTTTATTGTTAAATCATTTCCATATACATTTTTTTCTACATGATCAAAAACCTTCTTTGATTTTACTCAGAATATTGGCGTTTCGCAAACGACCCACAGATGTGAAAAGACATACTGTAGTGTGTTGTACTCTACATAAACAGTACAGTGAGTTCACCAAGAACTCACAGAATACAGCCAGCTACACTCTTCATACATGGTACAGTACATATTTAATCATTAACTCAGTGCTTTTCTCAGACATCTGGGCAAAAGCTCGCAGTTACAATGGCATAAGAACAAAGAGGTGCTAGACAAACTAGATTGTTTTTAATTCTCAGCTGGTGTTTGTGGCTAAGCAAGTTCTGTTTTTTCTAAATAGCTTTTGTACTAGGAGTGATCAGCCAGAAGGTTTCCAGCCCCTTCCTCATAAACTATACAAAGCCAGTTTTAATTTTTCTAGAGTCTAATCCATTATGTCTGCAGAAATCTGTGGTCTGACTGTGAACCCAAACATTTTCTCATATTGTTTAATATCCATGAGATGACTAAAGTTTTTCAGGGAACAATTAGCACAAAAGGCATCTATGGAATCAATTTCTTGTTCAGATAAATCAGGGTTCACTGCCTTTATAGCCAAGAGGAATGCTCCCTCCATAGTGGTTATTTCTGAGCCATTACCTTCTCCCCCAGTTCCCCTGGAAATCTTACCAGTTGCATTGACTAAGGTTGAATTAGAGGAAAAAGATGGAGTCACAGTAACAAACAAAGCAGGCAGACATATAGGAGAAAGCAATGCCATTTGTAGACTGGTAATCCAGAGATGTTTTCTCCAGGGTTACAGTGTTCCAGCAGCTGAAACCATGTCAAGCAGCTGCTTCTGCAACCTTGTTTTACCTGACACACACACACACACACACACACACACAGCAGGGTGTCTGGGGACAGGTTCTGTGTGAGCTCCTGGCTGCTCACACCTCCCTGCCCTTGGTGTGATGCCTGCCAACCCTATGCTCACCAGGCTCGATCTTGTGATTGTACCCCATAGGCAGCACTGTTACCACACAGTCTCTATCTTCCTCCTGTTATTGGTGTCAGCAATCCATGGCTCATTAGGAATGAGTTTTGTGCTTGCAGCTTGGGTATAGGCTTGTAATTCTCCATCATCTTTCCTTCCAACTTTGTGAGTACACATTTTAAAAGTATCTTCCCATTACTATGTAACCCACTTGGACACTAAACTGCCATGGGCCACATCTGTGCAGGGGTTCTAGGTTATCTCCATGCTTGGTTCTTGGTTGGAGTATGAGTCTCTGGGAGGAAGAGGGACTGCCTCTGACATAATCTGATTGGCCTGCTCTTTGATCACCTCCCCCTGAGGGGGGAGCAGCCTTACCAGGCCACAGAAAATGACAATGCAGCCACTCCTGATGTGATCTGATAGACTAAGATAAGAAGGAAGGAGAGGAGGACCTCCCCTATCAGTGGACTTGGGGAGGGGTATAGGTGAAGAAGGGGGAGGGAGGGTGGGACCGGGAGAGGAGGAGGGAGGGGCTTATGGGGGATACAAAATGAATAAAGTGTAATTAATAAAAAAAACTATCTTCCCATAAGACTTGTCTTTTGGATCACTTTCCCTTAGCTGGGCTGCCTTGTCAGACCGTAGGGGAAAAGGGTACATTTCGTTCTGATGCAACTTGATGTTCCTGAGCAGGTTGGTAGTTGCAGGGCCTCCCCTTCTCTGAGGAAAAAGGGAGGAGGAAGGGAAGAGAGGGTGACACTGGGAGAAGAAGAGGGAGAAGGCCACAGTAGGGATGTAAAGTGAGTAAATATTGTATTAAAAATAAATTTGTTAATTAAAAAAATAAAAGAACTTTTGAATAAATTCAAAATGATAACCCTCCCTCTAAGACTTGCATTCCTTAGTTATTCTGGAGCTATTGCTGGCTCTGCAGACTCCTTTTCTGCTTCCACATCACCCCTTGGAGCCTGCATAGGTGTCTAGATTCCTTGGAGCTCTGTGGCTGCCATTGCCATTTTTTTTCCTAAACAACTGATTTTTAAGAAAAGAGTATTACCTGCACAGATGTAGCCCATGGCAGTTCAGTGTCCAAGTGGGTTAGATAGTAATGGGAAGAGGGACTGCCTCTGACATAATCTGATTGGCCTGCTCTTTGATCACCTCCTCCTGAGGGGGAGCAGCCTTACCAGGCCACAGAAGATGACAATGCAGCCACTTCTGATGAGAACTGATAGACTAAGATCAGAAAGAAGGAGGGGAGGACCTCCCCTATCAGTGGACTTGGGGAGGGACATGCATGCAGAAAAGGGTGGAGGGTGGGACCGGGAGGGGAGGAGGGAGGGGCTTATGAAGGGATACAAAATGAATAAAGTGTAATTAATAAAAGTTAAAAAAGGAGACATATAAAAAAAGAAAAATGAAAATGGTGTCGAATTGCCTTCTAAATATTTATGTTTATAGCTATAAATTGGTGTCAGTCACAGGAATACTGAATAAAACATTTTGAAGTAGAAATTTACTAGAAGGAATAGTAAATTAGAATTAATTTCTCACTCATAAATTCTTAAACCAAATTACTCTAAAACTTGAAGTTATTCTTAAGAGCAGGTATCGGCAGAATGTTTGGAAAGCATCCCATAGAGAGGAAAATTCTTTAGGCACTGATTGTAGGTGTTGTATGTGAAAGTCCCATAACAAATGGTTTTAAAACAGCTAATATTTTCCAAGAGCTTTTATTGTTTACTTCCCAGTAACAATATTCTTTTATGCCAGGCACGAAATGTCCACAAAATGAAACATAACTTCAGTATATAAACAGGTGTTTGTCCACAATGGGAACTGCCAAAAAAGTTATCAAAAGTTTCAAGGTCATTTCTAATAGTCTACCTGCCCTTTCCAAGGAGACATGGTGTTATTTTGTCAGGAAAGGTGGTGGCGCGGCAAGAGATCTAAGCAGCCAAATCTAATGGGGAGATCTGTAAATTTAATGATTAGTCACATACAGGTCTTGGTTAACACTGTCCATTTAGAAACCCTTGTGATAAGTAGGCACTCTGATGGTATAAAAAGCCATTTGAGGCTCAGCTGGAGCAGTACTGAAGGCACCATGGCCAGCCTCACTCTTGTCACAGGTCTGTAGCCAGAGGCAGAGCTTGGCCTTGCCTTGTATCCTTTTCTCTGAGGATCTCACAACCATGAAACAGTCAACACACTATACTTTCATTTTTTTCTCACTGCAAGTATTCTATTCTCATACAATCAGTCTTTCTTTTGTTCTCTAAGCTCATGTCACTGGCATAACCGAAAAGCAAGTCTCACTGTCATTCAATACTTGTCTTACTTTTTTTTTTCCTGTCCTATCTAGCCATTATCTCCCTGTGCTTTAAACTGATACTATGTTTATTTACTTCTTTGTGTCCTGAAAATGGCTCCTTTGGAGGAAAAAAAAAAAAAAACTGCAGGAATCTACACAGAGATACGCAAGTTTTCTTTGCTCTGCTTTCTGCAGGATTATTTCTTGTTTATTTTTTATAATCCTGGGAAGGTGATGATGACAAAACTGTTACTCTTAGATATTCAAAGTGGTTTATTTTGTAGTTGTTTATAGCCAGTTCACACCTAGAACTTATAAGATACTCTAAATTTGTGCTTTTGAAACTTTGTTATACCTCAAAACCTGTTTCAAAGGGATTCTAAAGCTCAGTCAATAGAAGAAGCAGAGTTAAGTGGCCCAGTTCTCTTGATAGTGATTCAAGCCTGTGGCCTCAGTACTCAAGTGGCACAGGCAGGAAGTTCTCTAGATCAAGGCCAGTCACTATAGAGTGTGATAATGTCTTAAAGAAAGTGCTTTGTTGAAGCCAAGGAGAAACATCTAGAGGTATACCTCTAGCAAAATTTCTGTGAAGATGCTACCGACATATTCCTGAAGCTTGACCCTCTGCTTTCAAGTATGCTTTATCTGTTGAAGTACAGAACTCATATCAGCTCTGGAAAATGAGCCACATCTGATTGTGTGGTCACTAAGTGCTATGAATTCGGGGAGATTTCAGTCAGCCCTGCTTCACAGATAGTAGACTTCACATTTACAGAAATTATAACAGAATTGTACAAAAAGATAATGACAATTTCTGAGCAACAGGTAAAGTGTAGATCAAAGAATGTTTACTGGAAAGATCATCCATTTACACAACTGCAAAGTTTCACTTGGGCTGTCATTAACACATGGTAAACATGGTGGACCATATGGCTCTAATATCCTAGAGGATTCAGGCAGCTTTTTCAGAATAAATACCTGCTTTTCTCTTGCTAGGTCTGGCCCTTCTGCTGAATGCTCAGCTGGGTAAGTTGCTGATTCTATGTTTTACTGCTGACAAAACAATTACCGTAAAACAACTCAGCATCTGAATTTACATAATGCTACTGTCTGAGTAATATAATTAAGTAGAAATACATCCCAGTATTACTCTATTTGGAAAAATGTATCAGGAGATAAAACATATTAGAGAGAGAGAGAGAGAGTTTGCCATATGGAGGAGTAGACTTTTAGCTCAGCTGTTACGGCTCTTCTCTATATCTTGATCGCCTATGAGTCTTAAATTCTCATCCACTGGGCTTCATGGGACCATTGGGCTCCTTAGAAGGAGCTTAAGCTTTTCCAAGCTTCCCAAATGTGCTTGTACCATCTCTTGAGGTATCCGAAAGAGTACAAATCAGGCCACTGAGGCAGGGAGGGAAACAGAAGCACGGCCTAAACTGTTACCATAGTTCAATGGCATGTACACCAAATCATCGTACTTACTCCTGATCACCACAGGGTCTGCCTACAATCTGGTATGCTATTTCACCAACTGGGCCCAGTATCGGCCAGGCTTGGGAAGTTTCAAGCCTGATGACATTGACCCCTGCCTGTGTACTCACCTGATCTATGCCTTTGCTGGGATGCAGAACAATGAGATCACTACCATAGAATGGAATGATATTACTCTCTACAAAGCTTTCAATGGCTTGAAAAACAGGTAAAAGAAGGAAGTAAATACCTAAGTTGTATCTTTTGAACCAGTAGTGGCCACCTCTAGTGTTTCTGAAGATGTTACTTGTAATATTTGGGGTGTGTAATAAGTTAATGCTTTTTTGTGCATGCTGTTACAACTGCTGTGAATTTGTATGCGCATCTTCTCTGTTGTATCTGGAAAACACTTTTGCAGTCCACTGTCTCTGTTTTCTACAGTCATTCTACCCTCTCTTCTGTGATTATTACCTTTTGGATGTATGGCCTGCTCCCAGGAAGATCCCTGCATCTACCCAAGAACCCTCCTCTTTACATAACCTCTTTGGGTCTATGAATTGTAGCTTGATTATCATTTTATCATTTACTTAATGCCTAATATTCACTTATAAGTGAGTACATACTGTATCTTTCTGGGTTTGGGATACCTCACTCAGGATGATTTTTCTTCTAACTCCATGATTTGCCTGCAAATTTAATGATGTACTTTTAAATTTTTAACAGCTGAGTAATACTCCATTATACAAATATAGTCCATTTCTAAAAATCCGTTATTCAGTTTAGATGTATCTAGGTTGTTTCCAGTTTTGGCTATTATGACTAAAGCTGCAATGAACTTACTTGAGCAAGTGTTCTTATGATAAAATGGAGAGTCCTTTGGCCATATGCCCAAGAGTGGTATAGCTGGGTCTTGAGATAGATCAATTCCCAATTTTCTGAGGAACCACCATTTTGATAGCCATAGAAGGTTGTGCGTGTTTGCACTCCCACCAGCAACGCACAACTATTTCACTTGCTCCATGTCCCCACCAGCATGAGCCGACACTTCTGTTATTGATATTAGCCATTTTGACAAATGTAAGGTAGAAAATCAAAATAGTTTTGATTTGCACTTTCCTGATGACTAAGGATGTTAAACATTTCAAGTATTTTTCAGCAATTTAAGATTCATCTATTAAGAATTTTCTGTTTAAATCTATTCCCCAATTTTTGTCATTTAAAAAATTTTATTTTTATCATTTATTACAATTCAAATTGTATCCCAGTTGTGGCCCCCTCCCTCATTTTAATTTAATTTTTTTGGGTTTTTTTTTATTTGGATATTTAGGATAGTTTCTTGAGTTCTTTATATGTTTTCGCTATTAGTCTTCTATCAGCTGTCGAATTGGTAAAAATATTTTCCCATTCTGTAGGCTGTCAATGTGTCCAATTAATGTTGCCCTTTGCCTTACTGAAGTTTTCAGTTTTATGAGGTCTCGCTTATTAACTCTTGATCTTTGTGCCTGTGTTATGTTCAGAAAATTGTGTTCTATACCAATACGTTCAAGGTTATTCCTCACCTTCTCTTATGTTAGGTCTGGTATATGTGGTTTTATGTTGAGATCTTTTATCTACTTGGACTTCAGTTTTGTTCGGTGTGATAAATAAAGATTTATTACCAAAGACTATTCGTGGAGATAACCTAGAACCCCTGCACAGATGTAGCCCATGGCAGTTCAGTGTCCAAGTGGGTTAGATAGTAATGGGAAGAGGGACTGCCTCTGACATAATCTGATTGGCCTGCTCTTTGATCACCTCCTCCTGAGGGGGGAGCAGCCTTACCAGGCCACAGAAGATGACAATGCAGCCACTTCTGATGAGAACTGATAGACTAAGATCAGAAAGAAGGAGAGGAGGACCTCCCCTATCAGTGGACTTGGGGAGTGGCATGCATGCAGAAAGGGGAGGGAGGGTGGGATTAGGAAGGGAGGAGGGAGGGGCTTATGGGGGGATACAAAATGAATAAAGTGTAATTAATAAAATAAAAAAAATGCAAAAAAAGATTTATTTGCATTCCTTTACATGTAGAACAGCACCGGTTGGTGAAGATACTTGATTTTTTTCAGTGTGTATTTCTGGATTTCTTTTAAACGAAAATTTTGTATCTGTAAATGTATGGGTTTACTCTTAGGTCTTCGATTTGATTCCATTGATCAATGTTTCTGTCCTACTTAAAATTAGGAATGGTGGAATGTCCAGTGATTCTTTTATTGTTCAGGATTGTTTTAGCTATCATGATTTTTTGCTTTTCCATATGAAATAAAGAATTGTGTTTTCTAGGTTGGTAAATAATTGTGTTGGAATTTTGATGGGGATTGCATTGAATATGTAGATTACTTTTGGTAAAATGGCCATTTTTTTCCCTATATTAGTCCTACTGATCTATGAGCATGAGAGATCTTTCCATCTTCTGACATCTTATTCAGTGTCTTTCTCAAAATACTTGAAGTTATTTTTTTATCATATAGATCTTTCATTTGCTTCATCAGAGTTATCCTATAATATATTATTTGATGATATTGGGAAGGATTTTTTTTCTCTGATTTTTTTTTCTCAATTCCTTTGCCATTTGTATGTAAGAGGGCTAATGATTTTTTTTTTTTTTTTAGTTACTCTTGTATCCAGCCACTTTGCTTAGTGTGTTTTTCGCAGTAGGAGTTCTCTGGTTAAAATAACTTAGAGTTATTTATGTATACTATCATATCATGATATGATACTTTGACTTCTTCCTTTCCAATTTGTATTCCCTTGATCTCCTTTAGTTGTCTTATTGCTCTAGCCAGAACTTTAAGTACTATATTAAATATATATGGGGAAATCGGTAGCATTGTCTTGTCCCTGATTTTAGTAGAATTGCTTGAAATTTCTCTCCATTTAAATTTGATGTTGACAATTGGCTTTCTGTGTTTTGTCTTTACTATGTTTAAGTGTGTACTTTGTATCCCTGATCTCTCCAAAACTTTTAACATGAAGGAGTGTTGGATTTTGAGTAATATCTGCTTATCAGTGAGTGTATACCATGCTGGTCTTTCTGTTTCTGGGTTACCTTACTCAGGATGATCTCTTCTAGTTCTATCCATTTGCCCGCAAATTTCATGATTTCCTTGTTTTTGATAGCTGAGTAGTATTCCACTGTGTAGATGTACCACAATTTCTGTATCCAATCCTCCTTTGAGGGACATCTAGGTTGCTTCCAGATTCTTGCTATTATAAATAAAGCTGCTATGAACATAGATGAGCAAATCTTCTTATTGAATCATGAAACTTAAAAGCTTTTGTAAAGCAAAGGACACTGTTAGCAGAACAAAACAACTATATCTATTAAGCTCTAACACATGAGAATGATGCTTCTGTTCCAAAAACCTCACTTCAAGTGGCCAGTGATAATATGCATGTATGTATATATATATATGCACACAGACATACATATGTATCACATGTACATATGTGTCTGTTGCTTTTATACCATCTTTTTATAATGACACAGAAAACTGCAAGCCATCTTAACACCCTGCAAGAGGAAACAAAGTGCAAAGGATAATAAAATTAGACATGTTTTAGTCCAGGAATCAGAATGGTTTACTGGGTTTTGATAGCCTTTTATTTGTTTGTTTTTGAAATTTTAAAAACTAATTTATTCACTTACATCTTGATAATAGCTCCTTTCCTCCCTCCTCTCTTTCTACTCTTACCCTCCATCTCTCTTCCCCCATACCCCCTCCTTTATCCTCAGAAAAGGAAAGCCCCACACCAATGCACCATAGCTCATCTAGTTGTATCAGGACTGAACACATACACTTTCCCTGTGTTCTGGCAAAGCAGCCGTGCTGGGGAAAGTGATCAAAAGCAGGTAATAGAGTTTATGTTGGAGATAGGTCCCCACTCCTCTTACTAGGGAACCCACATGAAGCTTGAGCTGCCCATTGGCTACGTCTGTGTAGGGGCCTACATCCAGTACATGCATGGTCCTTTGTTGGTGCTTCAATCTCTGCAAGGCCCTCTGTGCCCTGTTTAGTTGGCTCTGTTGGTCTTCTTGTGGAGCTCCTGTAATATCCAGGAGCTTCTATACCTCTCCCCACTTTTCCACAGGACTTCCTAAACTTTGCCCAATTCTTTATATTTTTTCCTTAAATTTTATTATATATTTAATCATGTTTGTGTGTGTGTCTATGTAACTTAGTGCATGTGAATTTGAGACCCAGAAGAGATATTAAATCCCCTGGAGTTGGAATTATAGGTATGTGGGTAGTGAGCCACCTGGTGTGGGTGCTGGAACTGAGCTTGGGACCTTTACAGTAGCAAAATTTGCTCCTAACTATTGAGCCACTTCTCTAGACCTTGTTTACTCCTTTGAAAATTTCAACTAATTAATCAATTAATTGTTTTATGTGTATGCATGTATGAATATTTAGGCCACAGCATGTATATGGAGGCCAGAGTACAACTTGCAAGAAACTGGTTCTTTTTTTGTTATTTGAATTCTTGTGATTGAGCTTGGGTTGTGCTTGATAATAAGTGCCCTTATCAATGCAGTCATCAACCAGGCCTTGAGTTCTCTTCTGTTTTTAAATCAAAGCAATCTCTGGTTTCTTGGAATTCATTAACTCATTTAGTTTATACTTATCTGGGACCAAGAAAAGTTCAGGTAATTGTTGTTATTACTATTGACACTATCATGAACACAGCTAGGAAATTTCAGTTTATGAATCCCAATAGGAAAACAATTTCTTTAAAAAGGTTTTTACTTAATTGTGTCCATTTGTTATGTGTATAAAAATTCCATGGGCCACCTGATAAAAATGTCAGTCACCCTAAATCAGTAGTTCTCATCCTGTAGGTTGCTACCTTTTTGGAGGCTGAAGACCCTTTTACAGGGGTTCCCTGAGGTCATTGAAAATATCAGATATTTACATTAAAATTTTTAACAGTAGCAAAATTACAGTTATAACATATCAATGAAAATAATTTTATTGTTGGGATCACCACAACACCAGGAGCTGTATTAAAAGGTCAGCTTTAGGAAGGCAGAGAACATATGCCATAGAGTAGTATTATCAGACTCTCAGGGGAGAGGAAAATAAAACTAGAATTTTCATGTTCTCTGACAACTCTTACACATAATTCTTATGGAAACAGATGTTTCTTAACCACAGTTTCTAGGTATGCATGTAATAACAAATCAGTTAGTTTATATTAATTATTATAGAGGATAAAAAGTAATTATGTTTAAGCAACATTTAACATTTTATCAGTGAAAGAGCAATGAGCTATTGTGCTTTTTAAGTTATATGTAATATAAACTTTGCTAGCCCACACCAATAAAGCCAACAGTTGTATAATCCTGATTTTTCTTAGTGGCCCTTACCTCATATGTGGTGGTAATATAAAGAGCTTTAGTAAAGAGAGTTTCAGTAGTGAAAAAAATAACTCAAATAGTTCTCAAGTATAGATTATGACATCAAACTTACCCTGAGTAACTTGAGCAGGCACGATACTATAAACAGCAATGTTACTTTAAATGGCCGGACCTACAGATTTAGAAATTCCTTGTTTATCTTTTGCTTTATAGGAACAGCAAACTGAAAACCCTCCTGGCTATTGGGGGCTGGAACTTTGGAACTGCTCCGTAAGTTCTATCAAAAGCAATGTAGCCCAGTATAATCCATGTTCTCTTAGACTTCAAAACTCCAGATGGATATTAAGGATGTCCATTAAATGAATATTTTTACTTAATAAATTATCATGGCAGATCCTCAATACTTATCAGAAGATGTTAGAATGACTACTGTGGCTTTCACATGGCTAAATTTGGATGAATGTTTTGGGACACCATCCTCTGAGCTTTTAGTTGCCTGCTTCAAAAGGCCTCTTCTTAAAGTATATGAAGGGCTCAAAGTCTGATGAAGATCCTGTATTTCTGTTGTCTTCCTGAGAAAGAAAAAAGAACTATATGTATATAAACAAGGCTTACTTGAGTAGACATGAACTGGGAGCATATTTGAAGATAGAGAACACTGTGAACTAAGTTAATTGGACATTCAAAACAAGGGCATTTTGGAAAATTGTTTGAGTTGGGAGTTGGGAAGACTAGCAAAATAAAGTGAAAGCTGAGACACCATGGCTGCAAAGAGAGACCAGGACATCCCTGGAACATCCTTTCATGCTCAGTCACTGTGAGGCAGAAATTGAACTGCAAACTGTTTTTATTCCAGTGTGTTCAGAACACCAAGGCCTTACCATGTCTTCTTTGTGTTTCCTTCAGTTTTACTACCATGGTCTCTACTTCTCAGAACCGCCAGACCTTCATCACCTCAGTCATCAGATTCCTGCGTCAGTATGGGTTTGATGGACTGGACCTGGACTGGGAATACCCAGGCTCACGTGGGAGCCCTCCTCAGGACAAACATCTTTTCACTGTCTTGGTAAAGGTGAGGAAAGCAGGAAGAGATGGTAGCTTTACAATATCTAAAGTCTATTTTTTTTGAGACAGGGTTTCTCTGTGTAGCCTTAGCCATCCTGGACTCACTTTGTAGACCAGCCTGGCCTAGAACTCACAGAGATATCCCTGCCTCTGCCTCCCAAGTGCTAGAATAGAAGGGGTGTACCATCACATCTGGCTTATTTTTTCCCAAGGAGAAATAGGTCCTTGTACAATAAAACCAAACATGACTTTAGAATTATGGAATCTTAGCATAGTAAAGTTCCTTAGATATCATGCATTCTTAGAACAAGGTTTATGCTGCACATTACTCTACATGCTGTTTTCAGTTTATATCATCTTGACACTTATTCAATGATATAGGCTCCTTAAGCACATAACCTCCACTTTGCAGGATTAAAATGGTGTAAGTAATTTGGACATCACACAGATAGTAAGTGTCATAAATACCTGTGATATCTTCTAGACTTTTGGCATAAAACTGTCTACTGTTACTGAGCAATCTATGCTTTGTGCCATTATTAGGCATAGGTTAAAATCTAGGATAAGGCAGAATCTTGGCTTTAAAGAACACATATCTGAGGCAGAGAACTAAAGCATAAGCAATAAGTGTAACACATTTTAATAAATTCTGTACTAGAGGTCTACAGAATCCATAAGCAAATGAGGAAACATCTAATTCTGCTCTTGGGCAAAATGACATGAAACTTTCTAGGTAAAGTGATGCTGGATTTGAACGTGGTGTTATCCAATTCAGTGCAGATGAAAATGACGTAAAAAGACAGATCAAGTGAGAAGTGAGTTTCAATCCTCTGAGAATAAATAGGTGGCAAGAATTAGATTCCATGAACACTTTTATATTAAGTTAAAGAGTTTTGAAGTTTCCTAAGGACAATGAAAATCTTTGAAAGTTTTTATGCAATGGTTTATATGACCAGAATTGTATATTTTGGAATGGATATGTTGGAATTAATTATGAACCCGTGAATTAGGAGTACAAAGACAGGATAGAGAAGGAAGGCAATGAAATAAGTAAGAGGTAACCAGGGTCCTAATAATGGACCTGACAATGAGGGAAGAGAATATACACAGAGGTATAAAGAGAACAAATATCAATAGGAATCACATTTGAAGTAGAAATGATTCCTAGTTTTCTGATTTTGAGGACTATTTTTATTACAGTGATGCTGATATAGACAGGAAGAATAACAAGTAGACTGGTTAATTTAGCTTTGAATATGAGGATGACATATCTAGAATGATCACAATGAATTGAATGGATATCAACCCAGAGAGTCTGGCAAAAAAAAAAAAAAAACAAACAAACAAACAAAAAAAAAACCAATACTGCTGAATTCATCAGTAAGGGTACATGATTGCCAAGGAAAAATAAATGGAGTAATAAAAACAAGAGCTATGAAGTTTTTCAAATTGGGGATGATATTGGCAGTGAATAAATTGACTCTTTACACCAGAGCAGTAAGAAAATGTTTGTTGAATCCACTAGAAGGGGCAGAAGTTTGGGTAGTAACTAGAACCCCACATACAGTATAAGGCAGTGGGGTGGATGGTAGCGTTGTCTCCATTTTGGAGAAGTGTTTGTTCCATTAGGGTGAGTATCATAGGTTGCAGCATCCGGGTGTATAGTTTCCACCATGTGAACAAATGTAGCCCAGACAACAAACCTGCTAAACACATAATTTCCTATTACATAATCTGTTCCATGCAAATCAAGCCCATAAAACTGAGGACCATGCAAGTTAAGGTTGATCAAAGTTCAGTTGTAGGAAGAGTTTTTGGTTTCAAGTCTAGGGTGAGGTAGTATTGTGGCTAGCTGTTTGGTTAGGCACAAGGATTTTCTTTTTGAAAATTCTGGACCAACTTTGTGAGAGCAGCCTGTCCAATTCCTGACATCTTAGTGACCTCACCAAAACATGGATTTTAGGCTTATTTTCTTCCAAGGTATATTGTTTTCTATATCATTCTATACATTGGGTCATAGATAGACTCAGAATAACTTCAATATTGGGCTAGCAAGATGCCCCAATGTGTTAAAAACTTTCTCCAAAGCATGAGAGCCCACATAAAAGCCAGATACAGTAATGCTCATCTGAAATTTCAGTGCTCCTACAGAGATGGGAGACAGAAACCTGCCCATCTCCAGAAGCTCGTGGTCCAGCTAGCCTGGCAGCACAGTAGTAAACAACAAAAGGGACAGTACCTCAAAGAAGGTAGGAGGTGAGGACTGACATCTGAGGTTCTCACATGTGCTTGCACTCACACATATGAACATGAACACAAACACAAGGTTTTACAAAATCCAGATTACTTTTATGTGTATGTATATGTTGTATGGGGTATACATGTATGTGGGATGTCATTTCTCAGAGACTGCCCACCTTGATTTTTTAATCCATTTCTCACTTCTAGAAATCATGAATTATCACAGGCCACTTTGCCAACCCAGGGCTCTGTCTGTATTAGTTTCCTCAGCACCGAGATTAATAACCATATGCCACTACGTCTTGCTTAAAAGTTTTTATGTGGGTTCTGTGGGAACTGAGCTTTTGAACTCAGGTCTTCAGTTTGCATGGCAAGCACTTTAACCATTGAGCCATCTCTACAAGCCCTACTTTAATTTTTGTTGAATAGCTCCAAAGAATGTAAAAAAACACCTCTACTCTTCATTGAAACATGACTACTGTAAGTTATAATATCTAATCATTGGCTACAATTCTGCCCACTAAAGTGGCACAGAATGAAACCATACACATTACAGTATCTGAATTTAACATTTGAAGACAGACATAACACTCTGTAATTCTTCTCCTTCCAGGTAAATGTCTTAGGTTTTTCAACCACAACTCATAAGCAATGTTCAAAGGTGTGCCTGGAATGCCATCTGGTGCCCCAGATAATACCATCATAAAATCTCAACTCAGTATTCCAAATAAGTGAGAGTCACACAGAAAAGCATGTGAATTAACATCTGGCACTGAACTGGACCTGGCATCCAGCCATTACTACATTCTTTATTGGCTAATTCTGGAATTTATTGAATGATAGATCAGTGTTGTAAGGAGAATGGAAGAAACTTTTCAAACCACTGAACGCTAGATAAAAGGCACTGCAAAGAATGTAGCTTCAACATGCTGTGATACAAGTGAACTCTGATTGGTCATTTGGGACCCTGGCTCCCCCTAACTTCCCTTAGAACTCAGGTGAAAATTTCCAGCTCCCACGCACATTATATAGCTATATAATTTAAAATTCATATTACCTATACTATTGAGTTTATTGAAACATCAAGAGACTAAAAATAGATGAAAGTACTTTGGAGAAGAAAGATACCATGAAAACATGTATTTGCTATTATCTAAGTAGCTGAAATTAACTTCAAACATGCTTGCCTTATTCTGCAGGAAATGCGTGAAGCTTTTGAGCAGGAGGCTATTGAGAGCAACAAGCCCAGGTTGATGGTTACTGCTGCTGTAGCTGCTGGCATTTCCAACATCCAGGCTGGCTATGAGATCCCTGAACTTTCCAAGTGAGTAGTACACTAATTCTAAACGTTTGTGGGGACCTTTTAAGCATTGTACTTATTCTTGAGATGTCTTATACTTAAAGACCTTGTTTGTAAACTTGCTTTGGAAAAGATGTCATTGCCTGCATAGCTGTGAGAAAGTTATCAGAAATGATTCTAAATATTACTATCTCTCAGGTATCTGGATTACATCCATGTCATGACATATGACTTCCATGGGTCCTGGGAGGGCTACACGGGAGAGAATAGTCCACTCTACAAATACCCAACTGAGACTGGCAGCAATGCCTACCTCAATGTGGTAAGATCGTACGGGAATGAAGACTGGGGGAGGGTATGTAAATCATAGAGAAACTCAGGTTCTAAATTAACATGAGTTTGGAAGCTGTCTTATTTAGGTTAATATCTTAAGTTACTGGCCATATCTCATTAACTGTAATTTCATCCAAAATTTCTGAAAAAAGAAAATACCAAGAAATAAATCCTTTACTTATAAATATCATATAATTTACCTACTAAAATAGAAAGCTAACATAGGTCATTGACTGTTCAGGTACTGTGTCTAACTTGTTGCCATTACAGGATTATGTAATGAATTACTGGAAAGACAATGGAGCCCCAGCTGAGAAGCTCATTGTTGGATTTCCAGAGTATGGACATACTTTCATCTTGAGCAACCCTTCTGATAATGGAATTGGTGCCCCTACCTTTGGTGCTGGTCCTGATGGGCCCTATACAAGGCAGTCTGGTTTCTGGGCCTACTATGAGGTCAGTAGATTGACCGTATAGTGCTCTATGAATTACATGCCCAAAGTTGTGCATAGTCTTCAGTTTAGAATTTTCTGGATCTGAATGTTTGCTTTGTCTAGTACCTGTCTCAGTAAGCTGTGTCAATGGGGGTCAGAGGTGAGGTGGGGTGGAGCTTTAAGGGTTTGGATAATGTGCTTCTATAATTAATCCAAACAATATTCCTTCAAGCAACAGACTATACCATTAAGAATATTTACATTAGAAAAGAAAGGAATAAAATAAATACACTTCATAAACTACTATAGATTCCAATATTTTAGTACCAAAATATGGATAAAGTATAAGAATTTGAGAAATAACTGAACCTGGGGAATGTAGCTCAGTGGTAGAGCATTTACTTAGAATACACACAGTCCTATATTTAATCTCTAGTACCATAGGACAAAGTAGTGTACAACGATTTTTCATGACAGGTTTTTTTTTTTTTTTTGTAGTTTTGGTTGCTCATATCTGTAATTCCAACATTCAAGAAGCTAAACAGGACAACCCTAAATTCAAAGCTATATATAAAAAAGCTCTATATAAAAGCAAAGACTAAGGTTGTGATGTAGCTCAGTGATACAACGTGTACATAGTGTGTACAAGTCCTAGGTCTCATCTGCCTCACTGCAAAGATGAAAATAACCCAGTTTTATTTACTGTAAACAAAACTGAATTATAAAATTGAGGTAACCCCAACAATGGATATGAAAGGAAAGAAGTCAATGTGTTTTCTCTTTCATGGGATTAATATTGAAAGGGTTTGATTCTCTTCATATTTAAAGATTTGTACCTTCCTAAGAAATGGAGCCACTGAGGTCTGGGATGCCCCTCAGGAAGTGCCCTATGCCTATAAGGGTAACGAGTGGGTTGGCTATGACAATATCAAGAGCTTCAGTGTCAAGGTAAGGTCAGCTCCTTGGATTTGCTGGAATAACAGAACCAAGGCTCTGGAAATCAATGAACCTTCTGCCCTCTACTCTTAAACAGGCTCAATGGCTTAAGCAAAATAATTTTGGAGGTGCCATGATCTGGGCCATTGACCTTGATGACTTCACTGGATCTTTCTGTGAACAGGGAAAATTTCCTCTGACCTCTACTTTGAACAAAGCCCTAGATGTGTCAACTACAGGTAAACAACAGCACAAGTATTCAGAGGGTGTGTTAATAATGTCCCTTCATCATTTAAAGGCAGTCTTGACATTCTCACACCATTGTTTTGGGGATACTCTTCCTATTTTATTCTGTTGTACTTACCCAGGTGAGAGACAGCTACTGACTTTCCCTAAAACTCTATTTCTAAGGAAATTATAGGAAATCACTTCTATCTTTGGAGTGTATGAGATCAGATTTTCTAGAACTTCAAGGTTTGTAAGAGACTACAGAAACTATGCTTACCTTCAGCACACAAATCTCTGATTGTGAGACTGCAAATAATGGCACCCACCTCCCAGCAATAATGTGTGTAGTTTTCTCTACTTCCATGTGAAGTTCACTGCCACAGCAGCACCACCCTTATTCTCTCTACTTGTATGTTTCAGGTTGCACAGCCCCTAACCCACCTACTGAGCCAGTGACTTCTCCTCCAGGAACTGGGAGTGGGAGTGGGAGTGGGAGCTCTGGAGGAGGCTCTGAAGGCAGTGGATTCTGCGCTGGCAAAGCTGATGGCCTCTACCCTGTGGCCGATGACAGACATGCTTTCTGGCACTGCCACAATGGAATCACATACAAGCAGCACTGTCAGGCAGAGCTTGTCTTTGATCCCAGCTGCAATTGCTGCAACTGGCCATGAACCTGACATTGCCATTCTTCCCCAAACTTCTGCACTCTTCTTTACTCCTTTCCAAAGGCATGTTGCATCCATTTAAAGTTATGTAATAAAATCAGTAGCCAAAACATGAGTGTCCTTGATTTTTCATGGTTTGGTGGAAAACTTTTCTCCATTTAGAAATACTGGCTATGAACATATATATAAATATATATGTATGTATGTATGTTTGTGTGTATGTGTGTGTCTGTATGCATATGGAGAAAGAAAGAGAGGGTGATGACATGGTGGAGCCAACCACCATACATTATTTTAACCTGTCTGTGTCCATCTGCATGATGGCATAATGACTTAGAGCCTTTCTAAAGCTTCATTAGAGAAGCTTCTTTGTACATTAGATGGCAAGTGACACAAAGATCTACAACTGGTCAAGGAGCAGAGAATAAGAAACTTTGGATTTCTCAGCCATAAATGAGACATCTATATCATACCCTTCCTCTTCCTGAAGCTCAGGGATCACCAAAGAAAGGTGTCTCAAAAGGTTGTAAGAGTCAGACACAATGGATAAGTACAAAGAAACTGTTTTCTGGACACTACAGGCAGTTGCACCTATGAATTCACAACAGTTGTGACAGTATACACAAGAACTCCACAAACTCAAGCCATACAAAATACCATCAGTGAGATACAATGGAATCAAATATCCTGCAAGAACTGACAGCTGCAGTCACTACTCCTCTGGCTTGACTAATGACCTGATATTCACTTGTCCTCTTTTGCATGTTTTGTTGCAGTAAAATGACTATAAAATTTACCATATTAAATCATAAGTATGTAGTTCAGTTTAATTGGTTGTGCTGATACTGTTCAAACATCACTATCATTCACTATACAAAACCCAAACCAAACCAACAGCCCTTCCCCCATAACATGACTGTTGCAAGAAGACTTTATCTGTGTTTTCAGATGCTGATTTCTGTGCCCTGAGATCTGGTTATCACCCTACCACAAGCATGGTTTATAAATACTGAAACATCTCCTGTATCAATGTGATGTAAGGGATGCTTCCCACTCTTGATCCCCCAGCCTGACCTCCTTTAGCTTATCCCTACTGGTGGAAGAGGGCACACCCTTTCTGTGGACTAGGGGAGGAGGATAGAAGAGGAGCTAAGGATGGGGTTGGGGGAAGACTAGTAAGGGAGTTACAATGGGGATATAAGGTGAATAAATTATAAGAAATAAATTTATATATAAAACTCGAGAATGGGGCAGGGCAAGATGACAGCGCCAGGAGGACTCTAATTTTGAGCAGCAGCAGCAGGATCAGCACAGTGACCAGCAATCAGAACTCGAAGCCATAAAACACAGTCATTGTGTTTCCCAGGTGAGAGGATACCCCACGGTGGGGGATTCAATCAGCTTTTAACTCACCAGGCTAAACTGCAGAAGAGATCTCGGTTCTGCCAGATGCTTGGCTGCCAGCCGCCAGCCCCAGCCCCAGCCCAGAGCCACAAGCCAGTGTTTCTGGTCACGGTCCCAGACTGAACCGTGTGCACCACACTATCAGAGACTGGAATTTTCAGTCGAGAGATAACCCCATGTTACAGGAAACGATTGGGACCGACCTTAGGTCACTCAGACATCCTCTGGAAAAGACTCGGGTTCCACGGGCACTCCAGGAGCCAGCCCGGAGCCAGAGCCTGGGACCCAGGCTCCTGCACAGAGCCTTGCCTGCCTGCACGCCTGATTCGCCGCCTGAGACAGAACTGTGGGCACCAGGGCACCAGCGAATGAGTTTCACTGTCTGGTGCAAACACACAGGGAGGGAAACGGCTGGTCTGATCTCAGAGCACTCAGCTGACACCCCCACCCAGAAAAGGTCTCGGGAAAATTACCCAGTTTAGGCAGACACCTAGGCTCCCAAAGGCCGGAAAGGCTGACACAGGCAGTTTCTGTGCTCCAGACAGCTGGCGGAGAGTGAGCCGCCATCACTCAGCTGTGTCCAGACACAGGCAGTTTCTGCGGCCAGCCAGCTGGCAGAGACTGAGCAGTGTGCACCAGGGCAAAAAAAGAGACTGCGATTTCCTGTCTCCAGAGAATCCACAGGGAAGGAAGGAAACTGTACTGACTTAAATCACCCAATCCTTCCCTGGAAAAAGTCTAGCAAAGACTGGCGGGGCCGAGCCGCCATCACTCAGCTGTGCTCCAGACACAGGCATGAACAGTTGCTGCGCACCAGAGGTCCAACTGGGTCACAGCAGCTGATCATTAAATTTACAGCAAGAAACCCAGAAACAGGGCAGCTGTCCTCAGAACTGTCCAGGGTGAGAGGAGAACGCTCTCGACTAACAAAGACCACTGTTACCACTCAGGTCTCTATCCCTGAGGTGAGCAGCAGCAACTCCTGAAAAAACACCAGCCATCCAGGGACTATACCCAAACAGCTGAGAAGACATCCTTCAGGAAAAACCAGCTTTCTGCAAAGGTGATTCTTTCCACCACAGGATCCCCAGGAACTGCTAGAAAATAACCCCAGACACCTAAGATAGCACAATGGATAGAGGCCAGCGTAAAAGCTCAAGCAACAAAAGACAGAGCAATATGGCATCTCCAGAACCCAGTTACCCAGGGGCAAGTAGCCCTGGACACCCCAGCATAACTGAAATCCAAGAAGATGGCCTAAAAACTACGCTCATGAAGATGATAACAGAGGAAACAAATAAGATACGTAAAGACATAGAGAAAAATAAACTCAAACAGAATATTGCCATCCATAAAGAAATAGAGGAAGCTGCAGCCAAACAGTTTATGGCTTTTAGAAAGGAAATGCTTAAAGCACTGAATGAAATAAAAGAAACAGCGTTGAAGGAACTAAAAGAAAAACAGGAAAGTACAATCAGACATGTGAAGGAAGTAAACAAAAGAACTCAAGATCTGAAGATAGAATTGGAAAAATTAAAGAAAACATTAAAGAAAATGGAGGAAATAATGGAGAGGAAGAATCTAGGGAAGAAAACGAACTACAGAGGTAAGCATAACCAACAGACTACAAGAGATGGAAGAAAGAATCTCAGGTGTAGAAGATACAATGGAAGAAATCGATGTATCTGTCAAAGAAAATGTTAAATCCAAAAAATTCCTGACACAGACTGTCCAAGATATCCAAGACAATATGAAAAGACAAAACCTAAGAATAATAGGTATAGAGGAAAAAGAAGACTCCCTTCTCCAAGGCCCAGAAAATATTTTCAACAAAATCATTGAAGAAAATTTCCCCAAGTTAAAGGAGAGGCCAATAAGAATACATGAGGCCTATAGAACACCCAATATATTTGATCAGAAAAGAAAATCCTTCCAACACATAATAATCAAAACAGTAAGTATACAGAACAAAGAAAAAATACTAAAAGCTGCAAGGGAAAAAGGCCACGTAACGTATAATGGCAAACCCATTAGAAATACACCTGACTTTTAAACAGAGACTATGAAAGCCAGAAGGGCCTGGACGGATATCATGCAGACCCTAAGAGAACACAGATTTAAGCCCAGGCTATTATACCCCACAAAAGTCTCAGTCCTCATAGACGGAAAAAACAAGATATTCAATGACAAAAAACAAATTTCAACAATACCTACACACAAATCCAGCATTACAGAAGACACTGGAAGGGAAAATACAACCCCCAAAAATTAGCTTCTTTCAAGAAAACACAGGAAATAATTAACCTTACTACAGTAAAAGAAAAAGCAACCAAGCACACAACGTGTTGACCACAGCCAACATCAAAATCAAGGAATCTAACAGCCACTGGTCATTAATCTCTCTCAATATAAATGGACTCAACTCTCCAATAAAAAGACACAAATTAACAGAATGGATACGTAAACAAAACCCAAGCAATCTGTTGCATACAAGAAACACACCTAAGACACAAAGATACACATTACCTGAGGATAAAGGGTTGGAAGACGACTTTCCAAGCAAACGGACCCAAGAAGCAAGCAGGAGTAGCCATTCTAATATCTGATAAAATAGACTTTCAACCAAAATTAATAAAAAGAGATGGAGAAGGACACTTCATACTCATTAAAGGAAAATTCCACCAGGAATACATCACAATCCTGAACATCTATGCCCCAAATACAAGAGCACCCACATTTGTAAAAGAAACATTGATAAAATTTAAACCACATATAGATCCCCACACATTAATAGTGGGAGACTTCAACACCCCACTCTCAACAAAGGACAGGTCAACAAAACAGAAATTAAACAAAGAAACAATGTCTCTGACAGAGGTCATGAATCAAATGGACCTAACAGACATTTACAGAACTTTACACCCAAACACAAAAGAATTTACCTTCTTCTCAGTACCTCATGGAACCTTCTCCAAAGTAGACCATATAGTTGGTCACAAAGCAAGCCTCAACAGATACAAGAAGATGGAAATAATCCCTTGTATCTTGTATGATCACCATGGAATAAAGCTGGACCTCAACAATAACAGAAATAGCAAAAAGCCTACACACACATGGAAACTGAACAACTTGCTACTAAATCACAGCTGGGTCAGGGAAGAAATAAGGAAAGAAATTAAAGTCTTCCTAGAAATCAATGAAATTGAAGGCACAAGGACACAATGAAAGCAGTGTTAAGAGAAAGTTCATAGCACTAAGTGCCTTCAAGAAGACATTCAAGACAGCTCATTCAAGCAACTTAATGGATCACTGAAAAACCCTAGAAAAAGAAGAAGCAGACACACCAAGAAGGAGAAGACAGCTGGAACTTATCAAACTCAGGGCTGAAATCAATCAATTAGAAACAAATAAAACAATTCAAAGAATCAATGAAACCAAGAGCTGGTTCTTTGAGAAAATCAACAAGATCGACAAACCCTTAGCCAAGCTAAGTAAAAGGCAGAGAGACACCCCCCAAATCAACAAAATCAGAAATGAAAAGGGGGACATAACTACAGACACTGAGGAAATCCAAACAATCATTAGGACTTACTTCAAAAGTCTATACTCAACAAAATTTGAAAATCTAAATGAAATGGACAATTTTCTTGATCGATTTGACTTACCAAAGCTGAATCA